TGTGATAAATTTTGAACGGATCAGCTTATCAACTCGCAGATTAATTCTGCACAAATGGTTTTCCGAAAAGTTGTCGTTTCGAGAATTGGCAAAAAGCGTGAAGTGCAGTAAATCTACAGTGTTCAAGATTGTGAAGAAGTTTGGAGAAACGTCTTCTCTTGAAGATTTACCGAAATCTAGGCGTAAAAAGGGGGCATCGGACAAGAAAAGGAGCTGGCAGCAGTATGCTTTTTGAAATCGCATAAACCGTGTTCCGTTCGTGCAATTGCCAAAAAATTGGACATTAGCGTCGGAACTGAGTAGAATATCACAAAAAAAGTAACAATATCAGAACCTACAAGAAGCAAATCGCACCCAGAAGGGCGGATTCACAGAAAGCTTCTTCGAAAATACGGTCACGGAACTTGTATGACGTTCTCCTTCAAAAGCCGAACCGGTGCATTTTGATGGACGACGAGACGTACCAGTACACTTCCTGGGCCGCAATTTTTCAACGCTGAGCAAAGGAAAGATGTGCGATACATCCGAACCGAAAAATTTGAAAAAAAAAAGTTTTGGTGTGGCAATCCATTTGATCTTGTGGCTTGAAGAGTTCTTCGTATTTCACAATGAGCACAATCAATGGTGAAAATTACAGAAAAGAATACATAAAAAACGGTTTCTACCTGTCAACCGAAAGCATACGGATCCTCTATTGTTTTGACCGATTGGAGATGCGGAAGAAGGAAAAAAATCGATTTTGTTAAAAAATTCCAAAACACCCCAAACTGCCCTGAACTGCGTCCTATCGAAAGATAATGGGTAATAACTAAATGGCATCTTAAGAAATATGGAAGAGAAGCAAGCTCTGTTGACTGCTTCAAGAAAATTTGGTCTGCAGCACAACGAAAAGTTAAGAAGAAAGTTGTGCAGAATCTAATGGGCGTTATCAAGAGAATAGTCCGAGCGTTTTTTAGAAATGATAAGTAAACTTCAAACTCACGTGAAATCGATCATATGTATGTTGATTTTCATTTATATAAAGTAAACTTATTAATTTGTGTGAAAATAAATATTTTTCTTTGAGAAACAGGTGTTTACTTTCATTAATGAACATTCCTTAGTAATAACATTCCTGATCAGAAATGGTTTAATTTACACAAAATTGAGGAATTAGAACGAAATAACATATTTTCATATAATAGTTATTTGGTAATATTCGTTTTGCTCGAATGTTGTTCTACCGTTTGTGTTGTGTGAGGAAGACGACGGTAGAGCATCAGTGTACGAATATCAACAGACTGTCGCGCACGACTACGAAGCGAGTGTACCTAGTCAAAAACGTCAACTGTTTCAACCCCTGCCCCAAGGCTCTTATTTGGGAACTCTTCTTTTTATTCCATACAAAGGCCGGCATAAACAAGATCCACCCATAATAAATTTTAACATTTAAACAAAACTTATTGCATTTCAAGAGAGTCCGTGATTTTTATATATGTTCCGGAAAATAAAAACCATGGGTTAATTTTGCCATCATCATAATTATGATTTTTACTGCAGAGTTTCAAATAAATAAGTTTAATGTTTTTTTTTCCTTGATTTGTTTTCCGTCGATCTTGTTTTCCGTACAGAGGACCAATGCTACCGTCGCCATATCTCTCCCATATCTGGACCCTACTTATCGACCCATCAACTCATGGACCGAGGACCAAAGGAAGGCGTGACTTTAATCTTTCATTTGAAATGTTGAAATCATGTTTCATGGGGATTTTTTCATAACTTTAGGAGCCCTATCTACCCGGAACCAAACACCCTGTATAGCTTGAGTTTAAAGAAATTGAGTGGCTAAAATCGAGGTTGTTTGTATTTTGTTATATTTTATTAATTATATGTCGACGAGATGGATCCGGAATTTTGACGTCTGTGTTTTAAGGAGATACCTGCGATGGGTCGAAAAAGTCTACGAGGAAGCCGATTGCTGTTGGTGCAGCTCCACTTGGTTATTTGGCTGAGATCATTCCTTTTTATTTATTTATACAGTAACCCCTCCCTATCGTTCGAACATCAATTCAGCTTATCGTTTACCAAAACGAACCCTGCTGCAAACCCTACCCTCTTACCCAAAATCCCAGTGATTCCTCGTTGAAGTGCAGAGGATTTCTCGGCATCCATCAAAGTGAGTGTCACGTCAACACATTCCTACCCATTCCTTTCTTGACCTGCGTTCGGGCGTGGCCGGCGCTGGTATTGCCTAGTTTGAGATCACCAGTTTTTACACATTGAGGATGATTGCTAGTCCCAAGCATCATCTATTGGTTCTCTGTGTAATTACAGTTGATCTGGCAATAACAGAGTAGCAACCGTGGGCGGTCAATCATGCTCATGCTCATGCTCATGGTAGCTAGAAGCTTCAGCTGGATTTTTATCCGGTTTCAAAATTGGAACAACTTTTGCATTTATCCATTTATCAGGAAAGTATGCCAAATGGAAGCATCTGTTAAATAATTTTATCAAGAAAGACAAGGTACTCTCTGGGAAATTTTTGATGAGGATATAGAAAATTCCATCATCACCTGGAGCTTTAATATTATGAAACTTTTTAGTTATAGATCTTACTTCGTCCAAATCAGTCCCTCAGGAATCATCAAAAATATTTTCCCGAGAGAAAATATTCCGATAATCCCGAGCAACCTGATTCTCAATAGGCTAGTAAGACCCAAACTGAAATTATGGGAACTCTCGAATTGCTAAGCAAGTTTCTGAGCTTTTTCCAAATTTGTGATCAAAATATTACCACCTTCTTTATGCGCTGGAATAGGCTTTTGAGGTTTTTTCAAAATTTTTGTGAGTTTCCAGAAGGTTTTGGAATTCGGGTCTAATTAAGAAACATTATTTTCAAAAGTTTTGTTCCTCAGAGCAGAGAATTCTCGATGAACATTTCAAATGGTCCTATCTGCTTTGATCGATTCTCTTCATCGACTTTCTCTTTTCATAACCACTGCTATGCAAACAGATTTCGCGCTAATTCTACCACATAGTTTGATAAAGGAGGTTCTTATCTAGCGTCCAAAACGTCAAATACAACAGAGAAAGCTTTTGCAGCTGAGTTATTGACGAAAGAGAAAGTCGATGAAGAGAATCGATCAAAGCAGATAGGACCATTTGAAATGTTCATCGAGAATTGCTTTTTAATCTGTTTTCGCAAATCCCGCCAGATAACTTTCATGTCAGGATCGCTACGGACATTTTTAAGACGGATTGAGAGCTGAAGATCTTCGTCTATTATAATTGAATCGAATTTAACCTCGCATTTTGGTACTAAAGCAGCTCTTGCTTCAACTATAGAAGTAGTCAGAGATTCAAGAGCATAATTAATTTCATCTTTGGTTTGCAAAGGAATGTTGGGATCGAAGTTATATTCTATAAATGTTCGATATTGCTCCCAATCAGCTCTATGGTAATTGAAAGTATAGTTGTTGGGATTAGCAATTATTTCTTGGGATATTTCAAAAGATACTGTAAGGTGATCAGAACCGAATTCAGCATGGGTAACCAATTGGCTACAAAGTGGACATGAATCAGTTTAGACCAAATCAATAGATGAGGGATTTCTTGCAGAAGAAAAGCATTTTGGGCTGTTTGGATATTGAATAGTGTAATAACCTGCAGAACAATCATCAAACAGAATATTACCATTGGAATTGCTTTGAGCATTATTCCATGAGCGGTGTTTTGCATTAAAATCACCAATAATTAAAAATTTAGACCTATGACGGGTAAGTTTCTGAAGGTCACCCTTGAGAAAATTCTTTTGCTGGCCTATGCTATAAACGTAAGTTGTCCAAATTTTGCTTCAACAGAAACTCCCAAAGTTTCAAAAACTTTGGTTTCAAATGAAGAAAGAATGTTGTGTTTGATTCGTCTATGAAGAATGATGGCAACGCCACCACAGGCTCCATGAAGACGATCATTTCTATAAATGAAATAATTTGTGTCCCTTTTATTTTAACCTTATGGTCAGTGTTAGGGAAACTAGGATACATAATTGTGTGCATCACTGTAGATTAGGGAATCCAGGAGAAATGAGTGACCACGATCGTCTGCATGTAACTACACGAGAGATAGGCACGATAGGCTATCAGTGATGTGCTCTCGCAGCATCACTTGCAAATAGAGATAGGAGAATAGCCATTTAGCTCCCGACCGCCGACGGTAAAGGTATCGATTCAGTTCTATCGCGTTAAATAAATACAGTCCACTTAGAATAATAAATGACTAAATGCATAGAATAAAACTATTAATTAGTGATCGTATCACACCGGTGTTAATCCGAACTAGCTATTCGCGTGTGTGCACGTAGTGCAAAACGGGGAATTACCCAACATTTGGTCCTTCGAACCGGGTTTGCCAGACCCGTTGATAACTTGTTCGGTGATAGTGCGCGTCGCTTGGGTTCGATACGGTCATCGAACTACCGGACAATAGACCAGTGGTGTCTGATTGTTTGCCGTTTTACTGACTCGATGGATCAGGTTCGGAAGAGATGTAATCACATGTGAATTCCACGGATTCAGCGATGCAAGTGATAAAGCATACGGTGCCGCGATATACTTACGATGTGTGAACCGGGACGGAGAAGTCACGATCAACCTACTGATGGCCAAATCAAAGGTTGCGCCGTTAGAGGACCTTAGTAAAAGGAAGAAGAAGCTATCCACACCTCGGTTGGAGTTATCTGCTGCGCTACTGTTAGCGCACCTGTATGAATCTGTCTCCACCAGCATGATGATAGCAGCCAAATCATTCTTCTGGACCGATTCTACAATTGTAAAATTCTGGATTTCGTCACACCCGTCTAGATGGCAGGTCTTTGTGGCCAATCGTGTATCAGAGATACAACATGTGACAAAGGGTGGAATCTGGAACCACGTTCCGGGAATCGAGAATCCCCCTGACATAATTTCGAGAGGAGCCACTCCAGCTCAGATAACGAGCAATTCTTTGTGGTGGAATGGTCCAGAATGGCTGAAAAAGGAAACCCTGTAAACGCGCAGGTTCCAGAGCAGCAGTTCGATTCGGTAATCCTGGAGGAGAGACCACTAGTGTCAGCAGTCCTACAGACTCTGCCTCCAAGTGAGATTTCCACGCTACGTTCGTCTCTACTGAACCTTGTTCGTCTGACCGCTTGGATACGCCGTTTTTCCTTCAACTGTCGACCAAGAAATCGGTTGCATAGGAAAACTGGATTGCTGACAGCTGGTGAACATGATTCATCCTTGATTCTCCTAGTGCAGCTAGCCCAATCGGAATGTTTTCCGTTGGAATTATCAAACCTTGCGGCTAAGGGCGAAGTTAGGCCTTCGTCGAAGCTGCATGCTTTGAATCCTGTGATGGTTGATGGGATACTCTGCGTTGGCGGCCGGCTCGGAAATGCTCCTGTTTCGCGAGGAAGGAAACATCCGATGATTTTGGATAACCATCATCCACTCACGAAGCTCATCTTGGTGGACTATCACCGGCGATTGCTGCACGGAGGACCGCAGTTGAAGATATCGTGTGTTCGAGAGAGGTTTTGGCCGTTGAGCGTCAGAAACTTAGCCACGAAGGTAATGCACGAGTGCGTAAAGTGTTTCAGGGTGAAACCACGCGTCCATGATCAGTTGATGGGAGATCTTCCGTTGGAACGAGTATCACCAGCTCCTGCTTTCCAACGAGTGGGTATCGATTATTGTGGACCATTCGAACTGCAGCCTGTCACCCGGAAGAGCGCTCCGGTGAAATGCTATCTCTGTTTGTTCGTTTGCTTAGTCTGCAAAGCTGTCCACATTGAGGTTGTGATGGACCTCACCACCGAGGCATTTCTTGCTGCTCTTCGGAGATTTGTTGCCAGACGCGGAAGACCAGAGTTGATACTCTGCGACAACGCCTCCAATTTCGTGGGAGCACAAAGAGAACTGCGTGAATTGCATCGAATGTTTCGTCAACAACAGTTCCAAGAAAAGGTGTCAATGGAGGCTGCTCAAGATTCGATCGAATTCAAATTCATCCCTGCCAGATCACCCAACTTTGGTGGCTTGTGGGAAGCCGCAGTCAAATCGCTGAAAGGGCACATGAGGAGAGTAATCGGCAACAGAATGCTGAAGTATGATGAACTGCATACCGTTGTGACGCAAATTGAAGCATGTCTAAATTCGAGACCGCTGACACCTCTCAGTAATGACTCCGGTGACTTGGAAGCATTGACTCCCGGGCATTTCTTGATCCAACGCCCACTCACCGCAGCACCCGAATCAAGTCTCCATGATCTACCAGAGAATAGGCTCAATAGATGGCAACGTGTTCAGAACTACAGGCAAGTGATTTGGAAGCGCTGGTCAACAGACTACTTGTCTGCAGAGTCGCAACAAATGGACAAGGCAAAGAAATAATTTGAACGTTGGAACAATGGTTCTTATGAAGGAGGACAACATTCCACCTCTCAAGTGGAAGCTGGGACGCGTCATGGAGACTCACCCAGGGCCAGACGGGAAGGTGAGAGTTGTCACCGTTCGTACGAAGGATGGCTCTTATCGCCGGGCTATTTCGAAGACATGTATTCTTCCCATCCGAGATAATCAACTGGATGTCAAGGAATCGCAGTAGATCCAGTACAACAATAAGTATTATCGCCCCCGTTGGGGCACTTTTGGCACCTTGCGGTGTAACCCCGCCGCTGTTGCCAGGGGGCAACCTATAAGTTACGTATTACATATTCTGTGTATCCGGGAATATACTGATCTGTTCTCCCTCGACAGTCATAACCTGCTGCTCATATGCTTGGCTGGAGAGATCATCCGTTCCTTTGTTCATCCGTATGCAATCAACCATAATACGGATCCACCTCTGATACCTTGCGGCATCGTAGATCACTGAAGATCAACACAGCTAAGTATGGCCCCATATGGGGCAAATTTGGCGCTAACCGACAGTCCATGTCGTTTTATGCCAGGGGCCGCAGTATAAGTTACGTTTATTAGAAATAAGTAGCATTTCGGAAGCCAATCGAATTCCCTTCCTCCAGGATCATCTCCAACACTTCAACAATCGACGGTCGTCAGAGATGTATTCTCCCATGGATCGACAACCACATCGGGAAAATTCAGATAAGTATGGCCCCATTAGGGGCACATTGGCAGCTGACGGCGCTTTCAGCCGTAATCACCAGGGGCCGCACTAAAAGTTACGTTTTCCAAGCTTAACAAGTTGTTCGGAGCCCAATCGGTTTTTCTCTTCAACAGAAATCCTCTGAGATAACTTCTGATCTTCTACGACCACAACTTCCGCTGAGCATTTTACGCCCCCATTAGGGCAAACTTTGGCAACAATGGAGAGTTCGTCCGTTATCGCCAGGGGGCGACAGTTAAGTTATGTCTCTCCAATAACGAATTTGTTTCGGAATCAAACCGTCTTATTCTCCAATAGCATACGAGGGTCAATTCCACCGACAGAGGCCAGCATGTTCGTTCCACTGGCAGCGGAAGCATGTGCGCTAGAGGCGTATGGTTGGGAGACATACAAAGTCAGTAAAGTTTCCAACATCGGAATCTACGGATTGGGTTAGGAGTATCGTCATCGTTTGGTTTGGCTTGACGGACGGTCAAGGCCAGTCGCCGATCACGAAGAGATACGACTTCCACGAGGTTGTTGAAGGAGATAGAGAGGATCTGTGTATATATTTGAATTTATCTTTTGTAGTTATAGTTATATTTTGAAATGTTTTCGTTTTGAGTGAAATCAAGGCGGCCGTATGTTAGGGAAACTAGGATACATAATTGTGTGCATCACTGTAGATTAGGGAATCCAGGAGAAATGAGTGACCACGATCGTCTGCATGTACCTACACGAGAGATAGGCACGATAGGCTATCAGTGATGTGCTCTCGCAGCATCACTTGCAAATAGAGATAGGAGAATAGCCAGTTAGCTCCCGACCGCCATCGGTAAAGGTATCGATTCAGTTCGATCGCGTTAAATAAATACAGTCCACTTAGAATAATAAATGCGTTTAGTAGTGCATAGAATAAAATTATTAATTAGTGATCGTATCACACCGGTGTTAATCCGAACTAGCTATTCGCGGGTGCGCACGTAGTGCAAAACGGGGAATTACCCAACAGTCAGGTTTAAGGGACGTTTCAGTTATAACGGCGATATGCACGTTATGAACTCTCAAAAATTTAATAGCTCGTCTTCATTATCTTTAAGAGATCGCGCATTCCAATTTAAAATATTTAATGATTTAAAATCAATTATTGAATTTCAAAGTCATGACGATATTGTTCGCAAATTTTACTCAAGTTTGAATAGCATCAAACATGGAGTTAGATTTAAGCATATCAGAAATCATGTCAATTAATGATTTCTGTAAAAATTCCATTTTAAGAGGAATAATGCTTCCTAAGTCAAAATTTTCAAAATTTCCGTTAGAATTACGTTGGTTAGTATTTTGATTTCTACCCTCTGCAATAGCAGCATATGTACACGCAAACCAAAAATCTATTACAATAAATGTTAGTTCCGTTTCCTATCATCCTCTGTTCATGAACAATTGAACATCGCAACGAATGTTAGGAATTGACCATGCAAGCGATGTAATGGTTTTTTGTCTTTTTTATTTCGTGTTAGCGTGGATATTTCGACTATACCAGTAAGATTGTAGAACGACGCACGTTGTAGAACATTGTAGAACGACGCACACACTTGCCTCGAATGCCTCTATTACAATGAATGTTAGTTCCGTAATGGTTTTTTGTCTTTTTCATTTCGTGTTCTATCTACGCTTTCGACTATACCAGTAAGCTTGTAGAACGACGCACATTGTAGAACATTGTAGAACGACGCACACACTTGTCTCGAATCTCTCCAGCAGAAAAGCATACGAAGTCGAGCATTTTTATTTCGTGTTCCATCTACGCTTTCGACTATACCAGTAAGCTTGTAGAACGACGCACACACTTATCTCGAATCTCTCCAGCAGAAAAAGCATACGAAGTCGAGCATGCGAGAAAATGAGCGCTTCATGTTTGCTTTTAGGCAATCCATAATCAGGAGCATGGAGAGAGCAGTGGAGAAAGGACAGGTCTGATAATCGCAACGTTCGTGGCAGCCAAATTCCTATTTTTTTCGACACAATAAATTTACCTCACTAATACACTCTACATTTTTCGGTCTCCAATTTTCTTGCATTGGACCGCAGCTAGGTATATCGCATCCTCGGTTCATGCGGTCTCCACTTACATCCTCTGATGATGAATCCCACATAATTGTAAGCGAATCTTACATCCACCGGTTGGGTGTAGCTCCATTAACTCGTTGAACATTGTTAGCAGCGAGGGGAGTAGGTATAGATGAAAAATTTGAAGCAGGGGTGATATTTGTACCTAAGGGAACGAATGTAGAATTTGTTCCTCGCTGACCGTTGTTAACTGCAGAGGAATGTGTACCTGGGCGGAAACGTGGAGCGTTTCCTACCTGTCGCTTAGACGAGATTGTAGGATCGCTTTGCGAGTCTTACATTCCCAAAAATTGGATTTGTGGTTTTCACCACAATTTGACTTTTCGAAAAATCTCGAAAATATGGAAATTAACGACTTTCTCGGTTAACTTGCATTTTGTGAACTGTATTTTGCATCAGTTCAGTTAGTGTTTTACAGAAAGTCGGTTATTCACCAAATTTGAACTGAATTTTCAGTAAATCTTTCGTTTTACGGTGCAAGCAGACTACAAAAAAAAAATAAAGAGTTGTGTCCTATACACGACCGCAGTATGACGTAGAACCAAACAAAAATGATGTTTTTCATGCATTTTTGACTATTATACTTTATCTTTAAATTTTCAAGTATTTCAATGTTTCGGTTATGGTTCACTCAAAACAATTTAAACATTTTTCTTGACAAATATATTAATGTAAAATTCCACATGATTTTCATTTGACCACACATAAACAGAATCCACTCAGAAGTATACATGAAATTTATACACCCAACCGGTGGATGTAAGATTCGCTTACAATTATGTGGGATTAATCATTAGAGGATGTAAGTGGAGACCGCATTAACCGAGGATGCGATATACCTAGCTGCGGTCCGATGTAAGAAAATTGGAGACCGAAAAATGTGGAGTGTATTAGTGAGTGAAATTAATTATGTGGAAAAAATAGAAAAAAGGTTAGCGACTGGACTCGAACCACGGACGTTGCGACTATCAGACCTGTACATTCTCCACTGCTCTCTTCATGCTTCTGAATATGGATAGCCTAAAAGCAAACATGAAGCGCTCATTTTCTCACATGCTCGACTTCGTATGCTTTTTCTGCTGGAGAGATTTGAGATAAGTGTGTGCGTCGTTCTACAATGTTCTACAATGTGCGTCGTTCTACAAGCTTACTGGTATAGTCGAAAGCGTAGATGCAACACGAAATAAAAATGCTCGACTTCGTATGCTTTTTCTGCTGGAGAGATTCGAGACAAGTGTGTGCGTCGTTCTACAATGTTCTACAATGTGCGTCGTTCTACAAGCTTATTGGTATAGTCGAAAGCGTAGATGCAACACGAAATAAAAATGCTCGACTTCGTATGCTTTTTCTGCGGGAGAGATTCGAGGCAAGTGTGTGCGTCGTTCTACAATGTTCTACAATGTGCGTCGTTCTACAAGCTTACTGGTATAGTTGAGAGCGTAGATAGAACACGAAATAAAAAAAAGACAAAAAACCATTACATCGCCTGCATGGTCAATTCCTAACATTCGTTGCGATGTTCATGAACAGAGGATGATAGGAAACGGAACTAACATTCGTTGTAATAGATTTTTGGTTTGCGTGTACGTAAATGAATAGTATGTGTGGTCACGCATGGTTTTTATATGTACATATATTAAGCATGTGGCCGATACATAGATATAGATTTGTTGATCACGTTGCAACAATTCATGTGTGGAACACATAAAAACTCCAGAATAAGATCCTTAGGATGATCCTAAACAGTCCAGGACCCGAAATTCTGAGGTTCACCGCCTGGCTGGCCTTCAATCTCTCGAAGAGCGACGAACGGTCTCCTTGGAAAGGTTCAGAGACACCTGTCTGAGATCAGATCTTCAGTCATACGTGATCTGGCACGTTAGTTAAGTTAGACTCGTAGTTAGGTAGGTTATCAAATTTTTTCAATTAAAACAAAACACACCCCCTAAGGGGTATTCTGTTAACTAGATGAAATACACAAATACTAAATTAGAATATCCAATGAACAAAGATGAAGAGCCAGATAGGCTAATCAATTGAAATGTAAAATCAATGTATACACCATAATCAACAGAAATAAACGAAATTTTACTACTACTACTACTTTTACAGTCAGTGGTGTGTTATTCATCAACATAATATCATCGAATATGTC